AAAATGATTAGGATAGTGGGATAATATAATTAAAGCGGCCTTGTTTGGCCAAATCTCGAACAACCGCTTTTCTCTGTTGCCTTCTTTGTGTGGACTATGAAGGTTTGTGGTTAACTGGGATGAAGGAGACATAAACAGGCCCGTGGCCAGCAATTGCAAAATGTTTTTTTTTCTGAAAATATAGACCTTTTCTCATGGAACTTCAGTTTACCTACAGCAAGTTTACCCAGAGTGGACTTTTTCCCAGCAAAAAGGGGGGTTCTTTTTCTGAAAATTTAGACTTTTTTCATGGAACCTAAGTTTGCCTTGATCAAAATTACACAGAGTGGACCTTTTCCCCACAAAAATCGTTTAAACTAATCCTGGCTACGAACCCCGAATTCCCCCCCCCCCCACCCCCCGGTTACGGGCCTGCATAAAGCGTTTTTCAAGACCCATTGTGAACTTCAGTCTGGCTTAAGCAGGTAACTATACACAACTACCTCTGAAGAAACCTCTGTGAACAGGGCAACATCATCTTCTACTTATGCAATGAATTGGGAACCATGAACTTTTCTGAGCACAACACTGGAATCATTTATAAGGCCAAACGTCATCTGTACTGTCAAAGTGGTCAAATAAGAGTGTAAGTTAAAACAACCTACCAATCTGGTATTTTCAAGGGCATCGTCAAACTTTTCCACTCCCTGATTTCTTTCCTCGTCCGCGAGGTCTGCACCTGAAATAAAGCCACGGCGCCGACGACGTCTCAAGCCTGAAGTATAAAGATCACACATTAAGGTTGTGACCTGTTTTACGTTATTTAGTTGAAACTATGTCTAAAATCCGCTTTTTTCCAAACCCAGAGAGTGAAATACATGTAAGACAGAATCTTTTGATGAAAATGAAAATATGAAGAATAAATTATTCTGCTTGATATTATACGAATGAAAAGGAGACAGGAAAGATAAAATACCTTCAGAATCAGAAAACATCTGCACGACTAACAAAATCACCAGAAGTAAGGCTAACACTCTGTACTTGTCCATGTCGATGTATAGTTTTTGCTTTTTTAACCAACACGCGAACACACAGTCCACTGGTCCACTGTAGGATGGCCATCCTTTTATACCACACATGATCGGCGTATCCAAGTTGCTTGGGATTAGAAACCGGTCATCAGTCAATTTAAAAATACATATAATAAATCAATAAATCACCTTCACTCACTTAACACTTAAGAGTCCGTTTTTGCTAAAAAAGTTTTAAAAAAGCCATTTATGGTCGAGTGGTTTAACTATGAGAAGGGGTGCCGGACCGAGACGTCAAAACAAGTTGTTTTGCAGCGTTTGTGGGCAATGATGCTATTCCCAAATGTCAGTAGTGCCACGGCCGTATACAACAGCACTGGAGCATAGACATTTTATGGTATTGCGGTCAAAAATCGAAGGTCAAAAAGTACCAGGTGGTGGGACGTTAAAGGTATCAAGGCTACACGGAATATTTTTGTTTAAAGATTTAATGTATTAACATACCTGGATGTGTAAACAGGGGAATGTTTCGTAGTTGATTATCATTTTAAATGATTAAATTATATATGTATAATTTTCACTGATTAATTTTTATTTGTTAGCCTACCTGTTTCGGTCACCGTAATTTAAGCATCGACTATTTTGATCTATTGCGATCGTAAATAACCAACGCTACTATATTCATGAATAAGATTTAGATTCAGTGGAGGTTGGATATGTAAATACAAAATGTTGCAAATAAAACAGGAGACCGTTGTGGTGTACCGGGCCTCGTAACTCGAAAGCGTATGCGAATAGCGATATCACATAGAGGCTACAATGTATTATATGGGGCGAGTATGGGCGAGTTATGGAATCGAAACGCTTGCGCTCGGTCGCAATGCGCGTTGCTTTCGATTTACGGGGCCCTGGTGTTTTATGACTTTTTAAGTTTACCCGAGTGCTCAAAGTCACTCGGTTACTATGTCACCTCTATGGAGCGACCGGCTGCCCTAGCACTGGATAACCTTTTAATGTGTTATTTTAGGTTTGAAAATAATGTTACACATTGTGTTGTGGTCTTTTGCTTAGGGGAACTAGGCAAGATAATCACACCAAAAATGATAGTAAAATCACAGAGTACAAACTGCTGACGACGGAACATGAGAAATAAGTAATAGCATGTTTCTAAAAACTGAAAGTTATTTAGCCAAGTGAGATCTCTTTATATGAAATTTATGCAATTGCTGACAAGCAAACGTAAATGAAATTATAAAATTCGTTTCTTGAGTTTCATTTCAAACAGATATATACATATCAGTGTTGTAAATATAGCACAGAGTTAGTTTCAGTCATCTTTGTCATCTAATTATCATCTAATTACCTTATTCTCCTTCCACCAAACTGACCAATTCTCCCTGAAATAATGTAATGAGGCAGCTTAGTTGCTTGTACAATACTGCTTAAAAAAATAACCCCAAAACGGTACATGTTCTATCAATTTTTTTGTGTATAAACCATATTGTACAGTATATATTTTCTGTTTTCGTTTCTTTTCTTAGTAAAGCTCCTCAGTGACAACCCCGAATATCAACATACTTTTTCATGAAAACATTTGTTTCCGAAGCAACAGACTAAAATTTGTTATCACTGAAGGAATCATTAATCGTGTCACTGCAATATTCTGAAAGCCACTTCCTCGTTGTAGTATTTTATGCGGCATTTTCAAACATTTACGATAGAAACCTTACAGACTCGATCAAGCGAGTGGTGGCAGTGCAACATTTGTCACACGTACAATTGGGTATTTTCCGTAATTTCCCACCTGATACCCCTATTTGGAACGGCAGATTTAGAGGGGGCAGGGTGGTCCTGACCCCCCCCTTCGAATTTTGTCCCCTCTTGAAATTCGAATTTTGACTAGCTGAATCATAGTTCTAAACCGTACCAAATGGCACCATTCTCCCTCTAAAATACCAATTTCTTTCGGGGCCCTTCAGCGGGCCCCAAACCCCATGCCAAGTTGAGGGGGAGGGGGAGGTCGCCTTCGCATCCTCGGAACCTCCCCCACCCTTTATATAATCCTGGATCCGCCCCTGGCTCCGTATTTTTTGTTTTTTAATGGATGAAGTTCTGGCCTGGTTTACGCTTGAGATACAAAAATGAACTAAAGCATAGAATTGTACTAATTTTATTTATTTTTTTATTATTTTTTTTTTGCAAAAATATATGAACGAGAAACAAGCAAGTGTTTCATAAACTTAACAAAATTAGGAGCCAACGTTATACAATATTGGTAAACATAGATAAGATGAGCAAGATTTCAATATGATATCTATGATGATATATGAAGGCAGTTTCAATGTTCCAAGGAAATCTGCACTTGGTCGTCAGTACTGTTGCAGTAGTGTTTAGGTGACCGCCGTGGACTGTGGGATTTTAAATCTTAGGCTATACAGTTATCAAATTAAACGAGTCTCAAAACAACCTGGAGCAAGACCGTGGAAAGGCGATTTTCGTCAATGAAGTCGAATCCAAGTCTTTTACCTAGAGTCATCCTCATCTTCTTCGTTTTCATCTTCAAGCAACTTCATCAAATGACCCTGAAATGGCAATGAAGATTTTGTAAGTATATAAAGATACCAAATTGATTATTATACAGAAGAAAACAATATATTGTTAATAAGATTGTTATTGGATGTTGAATGACAAATACGAAGAAAAGAACACGGCAGCATTATTGACATAAAGCAAAAAATAACGACGACAGGGCAAAATAAAAGTCTTACTACTTTGATGCATTATTACATAATGCTTAACAGCAATATCTTTACTGTTTAAAGTTACACTACAGGCAGCATGGACATTCAGAAAATGTATCTAGCACAGAGCCTTAGGCCCACTGAAAATGCGAATATGTCAAAATTGAAAAAAAAAAATGGTATATTGTGTGTGTTTTTTTTTTCAATTTTGACATATTCGCTTTTTCAGTGGGCCTAAGGCTCTGTGCTAGATACATTTTCTGAATGTCCATAATGCCATAATACCATATGCTGTGTCTGTGCAAACGAAGGCTGCGAAATTGTACGGAATCGGACGGGCTAATGTAATATATAGTCTTTACGATTTTGTTACTTTAAGGTAAAACTTTGCACACATTTTTTAAATCGACAGCCCGTCGGCAGTTGCAATATCGTAGATGGAATTGCATGCTACATACCTGGGAAATGTGTCAAAGACGATTGTCACTTAAAGTTGAAGATATATTTGATATAGCAATACTACTCAATTTCTTTACACTAAACCTTACCGATTAACTTTACTCCTTATCTGTTTAGGTCACCACTCTAATGTAACATTACTTATTTTGATCTATTTTGAAAATATATAATTAAGGCAACGACATTCATGGATGCGATTAGAGTTAATTAAGAGGAGGTTGGATATTTAAACGCAATAAATGCCTCTTAAACTGAAGAATAACGTTTGTGAAGTGTTTTGTGACTTTTTAAGGCTAAATTGTACCAGTGCTCAAGATCACTGTTTAAATATCATTTCAAAGGAGCGACCGAGTGACCTTTTAAGTAATTATTCTAAATTTGAAAATAGTGTAAAATCATATTTACTCGTGAATATAATGGTAAATGAACAACAGACCCGGCCCAGAGTTGCCAATGATCGAACGTGAAAATTGACTAGGTATATCTTTAGAAATGGGAAGGTTAATCGTATTTGTTAATAAAAATTGGTGGTTTGGGAAAAATTACAATTAAGAAAAAAGTCCGGAAAACCTTAATCTTTTTAATAATCGACCATACGTTGAATTCGAAATTGACCGAAAATTAAATAAAAAGTGGGACTGAAAATTTGGCCCTGATTTACGCTTGCGATACAAAAATAAACTAAAGCATAGTAGTTCAATAATTTTATTACAAAATACACAAACGCTTTTAAAGGAGCAACATGCATTGCTAAGTGTTTCAGAAACATAACACAATATAGATTCAACATAATACAAAATTGGTAAACGTTTAAACAGTAAGAATAAAGTGACATTATTATATTTATAATAATATATATCAGTGATCCAAAATAATGTGCGCTTGGTTATCAGCGTCATTGTACGTAGTAGTGTTGAGATGACAGCCGTGGGCTGCGCATGTAAGGGGGTTTAAATCTTCGAGTAAACAATTAAACGTTGTGTCAAAACAACTAGGACGCAACAGATTGTATGTAGCAACGTGGTTTCTTGTGAAATTTTGTTCTTCATATAAATTCACGTATCGAGACTCGTTTTCATTTTCTTCGTTTTCATCTTCAAGCATCTCGACCAATTTCTCCTGTAAAGCAGAAAAATGAATCTATTTGAAAATTTCATGAAGTATATATATTGATATCAATTTAATTAATTACCTCCGCCGAGGAATTTTTTGTTAATCACTTGAATTCGACTGTTTGTCTGCAGGCCCGTAACCAGCAATTTCAGAGGGGGGGGGGGGGTCAATTTCTGAAAAAGTGGACCTTTTACCATAAAGACCTCGAATACATAGATCAAATTTTACCCAGAGTGGACCTTTTCCCAGCAAAAAGGGTGGTTCTTTCGAACCCCCCGAACCCCCCCTGGCTACGGGCCTGCGGCTTTCTGTCATATCAGTTATGCAGGTAGATAGGTTTTGTTGAAATTTTCTCGATAGGATACAAATGGGCTAAGAAATAATTCGATTTTTGTGGTGATCAGGATCACTTTTTGGACCCAAGAATTTAAAGAGGATTCTTTTTCCACTGCAAGATAGGCCAGAAAATTTTGCAATTTTGCCTACGCATTGTCGGTTTTCCAGTGCCTGAACTTCGCAAGCGCAAAGTAGTGCTTAACAGCATTGTTGCTATGCACCAGAACGGTTGTCACCAAACAGCTGTACATTTCAAGACAGGCCATTGTGTAAAAAGGGGCAGTCGGCACAGTCTTCCAACAGTAAGCCCATACTGGTGTCCTTACGGAGAGGTCTTCCAAATCTTACCACCAGGAAACAGGCCCTAATGTTCTTACAATTATGCTGCTGTATCTAAGGATCCCCGTTCCGTTCATAATAAAAGCCAGATTGCCCCCAGAGGGCGATGCTTGGCGCTGTCAAACGACATTTTATGGCGACAACAACCTCCAAAGTTTATTTTACGCACATGCGCATTCCGCACATGCACATGCACATGCGCATATATATATTGCTGCCGCCTCTTTGCAACCCCACAAACGAAATCTGTGCAGGATTTTTTGTATCCCTAAAGCCATAACATTTAATACCGGCAACAATTTGTAACATTGGTAAAATGATAACGATATTGGCGATATTGGGGAGCAAAATTACACAGAGTGGACCTTTTCCCAGCACAAATCATTTAAACTAAACCTTACTACGAACCTCGACCCCCAACCCGGCAACGGGCCCGCATAAAGCGTTTTTAAGACCCTTTGTGAACTTCAGCCTGACTTTAGCAGGTAACTATACACAACTACCTCTGAAGAAGCCTCTGTGAACAGGGCAACATCACCTTCTATTCGTGTGCAATGAATTGGGAAACATTAACTTTTCTGAGCACAACACTGGAACCATTTATAGGGCCAAATACCATCTGAATCGCCAAGGTGGTCAAATAACAGTGTAAGTTGAAACAACCTACCAATTTACTAGTATTTTCAAGGGCATCGTCTAGCTTTTCCACTCCCTGATTTCTTTCCTCGTCCTCGAGGTCTGAACTTGAAATAAAGCGACGACGTTCACGGCGTCTCCTGCCTGAAGTATAAGTATATTACACATTAAGGTTGTGACCTGTTTTACGTCATATAGTTTGAATGATTTTAAAAATCCGTTACAGCAATAGCCATCCAGCCTAGAATTTACCTAAACCTTGATAGTGAAATAAACAGTGAGATGGGACAGATTCTTCTGATGAAAACGAAATATGAATATATTAATTCTGCTTGATAATATAAGAATGAAAAGAAGAAGAGAAAGATAACATACCTTCAGACTCAGCCAACATCTGCACGACTAAAAAAGTCACCAGAAGTAAGGCTATCACTCTGTACTTGTCCATGACGATGTAGGTTTGCCTTTTCAAACAAAACACAGTCCACTGTTGTAGCACAGGACGCCCATCCTTTTTATACCATGCAAGACATGCGTATCAAGTTGCTTGGGATTAGAAACCGGTCATCAGTCCTTTTAAAAAGACATATAGGAACTCAGTAAATCACCTTCACTCATTTAACATTTAAGAGTTTTTTTGCAAAAAAAAGTAAAAATGCCATTTAAGTCGAGTACTTTAACTATGAGAGGAGGTGCCGGACCGAGACGTCAAAAACAAGTTGTTTTGCAGCATTTGTGGGCAATGTTGCTATTTCCAAATGTTAATAGTGCCACGGCCGTATACAACAGCACTGGAGCATAGACATTTCATAGTCTTGCGGTCAAAAATCGAAGGTCAAAAATTACCGGGCGGCGGGACGTTAAAGGTATCAAGGCTACACGGAATGTTTCTTGTTTAAAAATTAAATGTATTTACATTCCTGGATGTGTAAACAGGGGGATGTTTCGTAGTTGATTATTATCTTAAATAATTAAATTACATATATGATTTTCAATGATTAATTTTTATTTGTTACCTGTTTCGGTCACCGCAATTTAAGCATATTTTGATCTATTGCGATCGTAAATAACCAACGCGACTATATTCATGAATAAGACTTAGATTCAGTGGAGGTTGGATATGTAAATAACAAAATCTTGCAAATAAAACGAAGACCGTTGTGGTGTACCGGCCCCGTAACTCGAAAGCGTATCACGAATAGCGATATCACATACAGGCTACATTAGGAACAACCCCCCCCCCCCAAAAAAAAAAAAAAAAAAAAAAACTGATTTCCTTTTACTATATTTCTTTTATATTTCTTCTGTTTTCGTTTTTTTTTTCTTAGTACGGCCCCTTAGTGACAACCCCGAAAATCAACATATCTTCTCTTGAAAACACACTTGTTCCGTAGCAACAGACTGAAATCAATGATCACTGAAGGAATCATTAACCGTGTCACTGAAATATTCTGAAATTCATTTTTCGCTATAGCATTTTATGCTGCAGTTTCAGCTTAGAGACTCGATGAAGCAAGGGTGGCAGTGCACGCACAATGGGAAATTTTCCATGATTTCCCAGCTGATACCCTTAATTTTGAATAGAATACGCTGATGAATTCAAAGAATTAATTTCCACGTTTTTATCGAATGTATCTTATGAAATGTAATCCACGTCAGTTGTTTTTGTGAATAGTTTGCGACTGTGTGTGTTTTGTAGAAAACACATTTCCGTATTTTTTGTTTTGTAAGGGATAAAATTCTGCCAATGTTTAAGCTTGAAATACAAAAATTACCTAAATCATAGAAAAGCACTTGTTTTATTTTTTTGCAAAAATATATGAACGAGATACATGCAAGTGTTTCAGAAACTTAACAAAAGTAGGAGCCAACGTTATACAATATTGGTAAACATCTGGATAAGACCATGTGTAAGATTTCAATATGATCAATATTATCTATGATAATATACTGTGTAAAGATAGTTTCAATGTTCCCAGGACATCTGCACTTTGTCGTCAGTATTGTTGCAGTAGTGTTTAGGTCACCGCCGTAGGCTGTGGAATTTTAAACCTTAGGCTATATACATAGTTATCAAGTTGAACGAGTCGCAAAACAACCTGGAGCAAGACGGCTGTGGCAAGGTAATTTTCGTCTATGTTGTCGAAACCAAGTCTTTTACCGAGAGTCATCCCCATCTTCTTCGTTTTCATCTTCAATCAACTTGATCAAATGATCCTAAAATTTCAATGGATATTTTATAATTCTGAAGATATTAATTGATTAAAATACAGATGAAAACGATAGTAAGGTTGTTATTGGAAGAAACACACGGCGGCAGTACTGACACCAAGCAGAAAATTACAATGACAGTGCAAAAAACTACTTTTGGTACAATATTACATAATGCTTAACAGCAATATCATCACCACTGTTGAAATATATACTACAGGCAAGATAGACATACAGAAAATGTAACTAGCGCAGGGTCTTAGGACCATGGAAGTTCCACGTAACACATTAAAAATGCGAATATGTGAACATTGAAAAAAAAAATCACACTCAAGAAAGCAAGACGTCAAAAATATAACACCTAGCTGTTTTTCTAGATAAAACTGAACTGAAATGTCCCAAAACTACTTCAGTACAGTTTGCTGATAGTACGTACATAAAAACATGTGAACAATAATAATGTATTAATCATGTTTCAGCAAACGTGTGAGACAATCGTTTCTGTCACGCAGTTTTAAAATAAACACGTGCTAATTAACAGTGCGGTTAAATTAAAAAACAATTGATGACCAACAAAAGCTGAATTTTAATTTTAATTGGGGTGAATCAAAATAACCTACCAATTTATTTTCAAGCGCATCGTCTAACTTTTGCATTTTACTATTACTTCCTTCGTCCTCGAGGTGTGCACCGCCCATAAAGCGACGACGCCGACGACGACGTCCCCAGCCTGAAATTACAGAGATTACACTTTAAAGTGTGTCTTTACGTATTTCAGCGTAGATAGTGTCTAAAATATGTACTATATATACTTTTCCACTCGAGGTTTTTTCTAAACATGAACAGTGAGGTATAACAGAATGTTCTGACGAAAATGGAATATGAAGAATAATTGATTCTGCTTGATAATATAAGAATGAAAAAGAGACACGAAAGGCAACGTACCTTCAGAATCGGCAAACATCTGCACGACTAACAAAGTCACCAGAAGTAAGGCTAACACTCTATACTTGTCCATGACGATGTGGTTTTGGTTTTTTAACCAACAGACGAACTAAATGTCCACTGGTCTAGTACAAGACGTCCACCCTTTTATACCAAGCAGGACATACTTAAATAGTTGTTTGGGATTAGAAACCAGTCATCAATCATTTCAGAAATACATATATAATAAATCACTAAATCAACTTTACACTTAAAGAGTCCGTTTTTATAAAGGAATGCAATTTGTGGTTTGATTTGTTAAACAAATTTTCAAACATTTTCTTTAACCAAAACAGACCAACTCAGTGTCCACTGGTTCACCACAGGATGTCCATTCTCTTTACACCGTGCAGGGCAAGAAGTGCTGGTTGTCAAGTTGTTTGAGATTTAAAACCGGTTTTGGCGCTTTTCATGACTTAAAAGTTATGGAAATCACTTTCTCCCAGATAACAGTAAAGAGACCGTCAGTCAGATACATGTAATTGTCAAAAAAGACCTTTAACTAATTTTGCTGGTGGCTGTTTTCTAATAATCTATCTCGTCATCTCGTCAAGCTCCGAATACAATCCCTTAAGTTGTGTTACATACATAATTCGTTTGGAAATACTCCTACGGAACGATTTTTCTCGTTTTAAATGGTGCTGTGAACACCGCCCTAATGTAATCATTGGTTCTTTTGATCTATTTTGAAAATGTATAATCAACTCGACGATATTCATGAATGCGATTAGAGTTCATTTAATGGAGGTTTGATATTTCAACGAAAAAAAAATCATCGTCTTTAAAGTTGAAGAATAACGTTTGTGCAGTGTTTTGTGACTTTTTTGGCTATATTGTACCAGTACTCAAGATCACTGTTCAAATATCATTTTAATGGAGCGGCCGAGTGACTTTTTAATTAATAATTAAAGGCCGAGTGACATTTTAATAAAATATTCTAAATTCGAAAATGATGTAACATCATGTTTACTTGTGAATATAATGGTAAATGAACAACAGACCCAGAGTTGCCAATGATTGAACATCTAAAATAACTAGGTACATCTCTAAAATGGGAAGATGTTTTTGCCAATGAAAATTGCTTTGATTAAAAAATATACGAAAGACAACAAACTAGCACAAAATGTAATAATATAATTCATTAATTGAGTTACATTTCAAATAGTCATATCAAAATTGCTGGGATAGCTTAGGATATTGTAGAAGTTAGAGTTATAAATGTGTTCACTAGCGAAATCATTCTTATAGACAATATGGAACAATATCAAGTGTTGCAGAATGTTGGAATGTTCATTAACATCTAAACACGATGGAGCACACATTCCTTTTAAGTCTATATAGGTCCTTGAATTTTGGTGGCCATTTTGAATTTTCGATCCGCTGTAGAGTACGGAGTATAAATACTTTTTTTGATCGGTCGTCATCTCATACCGGTACACTATTGGAGTGTTCGACGCTAAATTTGGTCAAAAATAGAGCTAAATCATTGGCCCAGCTAAAGTATTGACGATTTACTGAGTACATATATAAAGGCGCATATCTTCCATCCTAGAACAAACCACTAGGTATAAGTTTCTTATAAATGATCTGGTTTAGGTGGTACTTGAAAACAGTGTGGGTATCAACTTTCCTTCCTCACGTCTAGAGTTTACCGTAACGTCACACTGTCCCATGTTAATCGCTACCTTCGTCATCTAAGTTCCCCAATCTGGCCATGTCTCCCTGCAATAATGAAATGTGAATGTTTGCTTGTTTGGAAAACAATGTTTTATTCGCTACTAAGAATGACAATAAAGCCGTTAATCTTTTTCACGTATTTGTACCTGTACACAATATATCTCATGTATACAAACAAAGAATGCTAGTGTTTAAGAAGCTTATTCTTAACGCGTTGAAAAAAAATAACATTAAGCTGCATTAAATTAGAATAAAAAAACAGGTTTCATTTGCTCGTTTTTTTTCTCAGCAAAGGTATGACAAAGTAATGTGTATGTAAGGTTTAGTTTACTTTTGTTGTGATTGAGGAGCCTGATGTCCGGCTCATCTAATGCACTCATTTGCATAAATGACAACTTTTCATTCGGGGTGGTGCCCCACGAGTTTTGCACTTTGTTTCATTCATCACAGTGTCTCCGTAGGAGGAACACATAGTACTCTTACTTTTGAATCCGTTATTTCTACTTGAAATTTATAGTTAAAAGGAAAGGCAGAAATGGTGAGTTTAATACTGTTTATTGATTATTATTGATTATTGATGATTAGTTATTTATTATTGGTGATTATTGAAATGTATAAGTTTTTTGAGTAAGTAAATTTGAACACGTAAATAACCCTTAGTAAGTACATTGTTGTAATTTTCTTTTTCTTTTCTTCTTTTTTAGTTTTTACGTGTCTTGTGAATCCATGTGAATAAACCAAGATCCAGTGAAAAACACATGCCTTTTCTTTGACTTTTAATACACCTATATAGTCCTTGCGTGCTATACATGCAGTGACCGACGAGTTGTTGTAACATAATACCCTCGACTATATCGTCACGCAAGGGCAATCATCCAGAAACATTGCCCTTGTTTACTCCCTGTTATATGCTTAAAAATGATGTTTGTATTTTGATAATTAAAGACCGGTTAGTGGGGGAGCACTCTCCACCAGGTCGCCACAAACNTAAAGTAAAAACATTTCTCAATCATCCCACTGAAATTTCCATCATGGCGTACCACGGCAGCTTACAAGATTTCGGACTATCCCATAGACGATTCAGAACCAACAGTTTACGTTCGGCATCGAAATCCCAAAGAACAAAAGCAGCACTCGATATTGCTAATGCTCAGTTGGAATTCGAAGAAGCGGAAACCGCACTAAGGCGTCGGTATCGTGAGCAAGAACTAAAAGATGAAATGAGAATGCTTTCCCTACGAGCCCAGGTGAGACGGCGGGAAATTGAGGCTGAAATTCAGGAAGACGCATCTTTATCGGAACACAACTTCACGATTGATCGCTACTTTAATTCCATGGAAGAAGGTAACGTTGATACTATTGATGCACATAATCTGACAAATTCCGATCATGTTTCTCATCAACATATCAGTGCACAACAGCAACATCAGAGTGAGCAACAGCGGTCACGCATGAATGCACATCACCCGCATTCCACGCAACAGCTTCAGCAATTAGGAGTGTCATATGAGACGGAGCCCACTCAACCGAAACCGATGTTAAGGACAAATCAACCACAGCAGTTCCCTACGGCAGCCCAGTCGTCACAACCGTCACAGCTACCACAACCGTACATTGTGCCATCCCATACAGATCCAGCAATGACATTTAACACCCATGCAACAGAATATACACCGATGACAGCACAGTCAATAGGTACGTCTACCATAGAGCAACAACGTCAGCTTACCATGAATGACCAAGTAGCACACTTACTTCAACAACAACAACGTGCTTTACAAGAAATCACGCTGAACCAAGAAATGCCCAAACGTGAGTACTTGTATTTCAATGGTGATCCCGTATCATACCCGACTTTCATAAGAAACTTTGAGACTAATATAGAACAAAGAGTACCAGACTTTAGAAGTAAACTGTCATACCTCATACAGTACTGCACAGGTGAAGCCAAAGAAGCCATAAAAAGCTGTGTCATACTTGAACCAGAGGAAGGTTATTTCCAGGCTAGAAACATATTACAGACTCATTTCGGACAAAAACACATCATCATCAAAGCTATGTTGGAGAAAATAGTAACAGGTCCTCCCATTAAAGCGTCAGACGTTACACGAATCTCCAAGCTCTCAAGAGACATGACTACGTGCCAAATGACAGCATCCAAGATGGGATACTATGAAGATTTGAATTCTATGGATACTCTGGAAAAAGTGGTCCGGCGATTACCACAATATCTCCAAGCTGGATGGGCCAAACGTTCCGGAAAATTGTTAAATCAGTGGATTGAGGTCAAGTTCAAGGATCTCGCAGATTACCTGGAGGAAATGGTACATATTGCCAACACAAGGTTCGGACAATTGGTAGGATCCAAGCCGGATGTGAAACCTAAGTCAAAGGTCAGTTGTCACAACACGTCCTATAAGACCACTACCCTAGCCACTAACGTTCACCCTGCCGAGAAAAGCAACAGTAACTCCAACAAGTCCCAGCCATCGTCAGTCCAGAGAGACCCGTGTGTGTTTTGCTCTGGAAATCATACTATCAAGCAATGTTTCAAATTTGCTAGAATGAATTACAGCGATAGGAAAATTTTAGTGTCGGAAAACAAACTGTGTTTCAATTGTCTACAGTCCAACCCTCCGCACACTGCGAGGACGTGTCAATGGAAACAATTGTGTCAAGTCCCTGGATGTGGCAAGCGACATCACGCGTTACTACACCCACCCTGTGTACCTGCCAACAGCCCCGCACTGCAACGTGAGCCTGGTGCCAACGCTACGTCTGTTGTTACTGACCCCGTAGTTGCAGTCCAGAGTGCTGCGGTAGCGACAGGAAGAAGAATCAGTCTACAGATTGTCCCAGTGACCGTGAGCGGCGGCAATGGTGGACCGATTATTGAAACTTATGCATTTCTAGACAATGGATCTGATCACAGTTTATGTTTACACAGCTTAGCTGAAAAGTTAGGTGCCAGTGGGAAACCTATCCAGTACAGTGTCAGTACAGTTAACGATGAAAGTTGCGTAAACCAAGGGCAAGAAGTACAGCTAGAAGTGAAAGCTATCAATAGCCAGCAAGGATTGATTCTAGATCAAGTTTNTGGTGGACCGATTATTGAAACTTATGCATTTCTAGACAATGGATCTGATCACAGTTTATGTTTACACAGTTTAGCTGAAAAGTTAGGTGCCAGTGGGAAACCTATCCAGTACAGTGTCAGTACAGTTAACGATGAAAGTTGCGTAAACCAAGGGCAAGAAGTACAGCTAGAAGTAAAAGCTATCAATAGCCAGCAAGGATTGATTCTAGATCAAGTTTGGACGACCGACAGACTACCCATCTGTGAAAAGAACATTCCAAATAACTCCGACATTTCAGAGTGGAGCCATTTGAAAGATGTACGACTACCGGAGCTAGATGACAAAACAGTTACCATTCTCATCGGTAATGATCACCCTGAAGCTCATTGGCGCATAGAAGAGAGACGAGGCGATAAGAAACAACCGTACGCGATCCGAACGATTTTAGGATGGACTATATTAGGTCCCACGAAAAGACCAAATGATGGTGACGTCACGGTTAATTTCATTCACGCAGACCAGGTACTCGGATGTGACAATTCTCTGAGAGGCTGCGATTCCATTTCTATCCAACTAAGCAAGATGTACAACAGTGAATTCAGTGAATCTTCAGTTAGCAGCAGCCAATGCATGTCGTTAGAAGATAAGAAAGCGAAAAGGATCATGGATGAATCCGTGGTATTTGTTGACGGACATTACCAAGTTACCCTTCCTTGGAAGTCAGACGAGCTCTTACCCAATAACAAGCCAGCAGCTGAAAAGCGCTTGAATCTGCTCAAAAGACGTCTACGGCGTGATGAAAACCTACGAGAGAAGTATACTCAAGCTCTTCAGGAGTATATTGATAAAGGACACGCTCAGAAGATTGACCACAGAAATCTGTATAACAACAGCAATTCTGTTTGGTACTTACCTCATCACCCTGTGATCAATTCAAAGAAGTCCAAAATTAGAGTTGTCTTCGATTGTGCAGCGGAATATTCAGGCGTTTATCTGAATGATTCCTTGTTACAGGGTACGGATTTAACCAATTCACTCATTGGAGTTCTCCTTAGATTCCGCCAGGAGAAGATAGCCATTGTTGCTGATATTGAGCAAATGTATCATCAAGTGAGAGTGCACCCTGATGATCGTGATGCCTTACGATTCCTATGGTGGCCGGCAGGAGATCTCAGCAAACAACCAGAAGAATACCAAATGCCATGTTTTGGCGCTACTTCCTCTGCAAGTTGTACAGTCTACGCTCTCCTCAAAAATGCAGAAGATCATGGAAAGGACTTTGATTTCCAGACCGTTGAAACTGACTACAGAAACTTCTATGTTGACGATTGCTTAAAGTCTGTAGAGACCGTCGATGAAGCTAAGAAGATGATCACTCAGTTTACCTCATTACTGCAGAAAGGTGGATTTCATCTGACCAAGTGGATATCGAACCAGGAGGAAGTTCTATTCAGTGTGCCCACTGCAGAGCAAGCACCGTCGGTCAGAAATGTAAACTTTGACAAACAGCCGATAGAACATGTGTTAGGCGTACAGTGGAACATAGAAAAGGATACATTTGGATACTGCGTCCGTGAAAGGGATGTAAAGAATACCCGCAGAGGTATTTTGTCATTTATTGCATCTATATATGATCCACTGGGTTTTGCAGCGCCACTTATTCTCAAACCTAAACAGATACTCCAAGAATTGTGTCGGGAAGGCATTGCGTGGGACAGTGACTTACCTGCAGAGGATCTTAATGCATGGACACAGTGGAGAGAAGGATTGGACAATTTACAAAGAATTGAAGTCCCAAGATGCTACAAATCAGCTCGATTAGCAGATATTCAGTCCATTGAACTTCACCATTTTTCAGATGCCTCCTTATCCGGCTACGGCATTGTTTCCTACTTGCGATTTGTTGATATCACGTGTTGCGCCTCTGAAAACAGTGACTGTTCCACGAATGGAGCTGACAGCAGCTACATTGTCTGTGAAAGTTCACAAACAAATGATGGAGGAGCTACAACTGCCCATTCATCGTGTTGTTTTCTGGACAGATTCTACGATTGTGCTCCAGTACATTCGGAATTCCGCGACCAGATTCCATGTTTTTGTTGCCAATCGTCTACAAATTATACATGATGTTTCATCCCCATCGCAGTGGTATCATGTTGATTCAGATCAGAACCCGGCAGATTACGCTTCCAGAGGAATACAGCTCAGAAGTGATAACGGTGATGACATACAGCGTTGGTTACATGGCCCAGCTTTCTTGTATCAGCCCGAGATACACTGGCCGAAACAACCAGATCATCTACATGAAATTCCAGAAAATGATAGAGAAGTGAAACGTAAATCAGCTCATGTACATGTCACTACGTCGTCGGAAGTATTGGACGGTGTAGAGCGATTGTTGCATCATTTCTCATCGTGGTATACTTTACAGAAATCAGTTGCCTGGATTTTGCGTTTCAAACGCTATTTACTGTCCCGCGTGAGACAATTGACAGTAGATAGAAACAATGGACCATTAACAGTACAGGAAATCGCGCTTGCTACTGATGCCATTGTGATGTATGTACAAGCAAAATCATTTCNATGATACATGATGTTTCATCCCCATCGCAGTGGTATCATGTTGATTCAGATCAGAACCCAGCAGATTACGCTTCGAGAGGAATACAGCTCAGAAGTGATAACGGTGATGACATACAACGTTGGTTACATGGCCCAGCTTTCTTGTATCAGCCCGAGATACACTGGCCGAAACAACCAGATAACCTACATGAAATTCCAGAAAATGACAGAGAAGTGAAACGTAAATCAGCTCAGATACACGTCACTACGTCGTCGGAAGTATCGGACGGTGTAGAGCGATTGTTGCATCATTTCTCATCGTGGTATACTTTACAGAAATCAGTTGCCTGGATTTTGCGTTTCAAACGCTACTTACTGTCACGCGTGAGACAATTGACAGGAGATAGAAACAATGGACCATTAACAGTACAGGAAATCACGCTTGCTACTGATGCTATCGTGATGTATGTACAAGCAAAATCATTTCCCAAAGAGTGCAACGTTGTATCATCTGCAATGACCAAAAAACCTGATTCCAAGGGATACGTGAGCCCATTGCGCAAGCTATCTCCGATCAAAATTGATGGGATTCTGTGTGTAGGCGGACGTCTCCAGAATGCAGCGATATCTACCTCACAGAAACACCCGAAAATTCTTCCGCATGATCATCACGTCACTGAAATCATTGTGCGACACTATCACATTAAAGAAGGACATGTGGGAGCATATCACGTGTTATCTGTGATACGTCAAGAATTTTGGATAACGCGTGGATTGTCAACAGTGAAAAAAGTCATTCGCAAGTGCATGGTGTGCCGCAGATGGAATGCAGTTCCCAGCAGTCAAGTTATGGCCCCACTTCCAAAAAGTCGTGTGACACCAGGGAAGCCACCATTTTATTCCGTTGGTGTCGACTACTTTGGACCACTGTTAGTGAAATGCGGAAGACGAACAAATAAGCGATATGGTTGCATTTTTACGTGCATGGCGACTAGAGCAGTTCATTTGGAGATATCATATAATCTGTCATCAGACTCGTTCATTCAAGCAGTTTTGCGTTTCATTAGTCGGCGAGGACCGCCGTGTGAAATTTTCAGTGACAACGGGACCAATTTCACAGGTGCTGAAGCAGATCTAAAACGCATTTTACAGCAGTGGAATCAAGAAAAAATCAGTGATTCTCTGTTACGACGCAACATTCAGTGGTATTTCAATCCTCCAAATGCAAGCCACGCAGGTGGCGTATGGGAGCGTTTAATCAGATCAGTGCGGAAAATCATGCGTTCAGTCTTGGGAAATAGATTGGTGGATGACGAGACATTAATTACTGTACTTACTGAAGTTGAGAAAATCATGAATGATCGTCCGTTGATCCGCAAAGCAGACCATTATTACGAACTAGAAACTTTGTCACCAAATCAACTACTGTTGCTGCGTTCGAATCCCTGTTTGCCCGCTGACAATTTCACAGAACGTGATCAATATAATGAACAGTGGAAACACGCGCAGTTAATTGCAGACCAATTTTGGCAGCGATGGATTAAAGAATACTTGCCAGTGCTTCAAGAACGTCAGAAATGGCTCCGACCAGCAAAAAACTTTGAAAAAGGTGACTTTGTTTTGCTTATTGATGAAAATGCCTTTCGCGGCCAGTGGCCTAAAGGACTGATAGAGGAAACTTTTCCTGATAAATACGGACATGTGCGCCAGGTGATTGTTAAAACAGCCAAGGGACGCTTTCGCCGTGATGTGCGAAAACTGTGTTTATTGGAAGGAAATTTTGTTTAATG